TTAGGTTAATGCTGTTTCCCACCATTCCCACCATTCCCACCATTCCCTGCCCCTCAGATCCGTTGGAAGTACATGATTGTGGACGAGGGGCACCGCATGAAGAACCACCACTGCAAGCTGACCCAGGGTTAGGGTTAGGGTCAGGGTGATGCTGTGCCCCACCATTCCTACCATTCCTGGTGTTCCCTGTCCCTCAGATCCGCTGGAAGTACATGATTGTGGACGAGGGGCACCGCATGAAGAACCACCACTGCAAGCTGACCCAGGTGCTCAACACCCACTACGTGGCCCCGCGGCGGCTGCTGCTGACGGGGACGCCGCTGCAGAACAAGCTGCCCGAGCTCTGGGCCCTGCTCAACTTCCTGCTGCCCACCATCTTCAAGAGCTGCAGCACCTTCGAGCAGTGGTTCAACGCGCCCTTCGCCATGACCGGCGAGAAGGTGACCCGGCGTTCCCTGTGGGAACGGGGACTGGGGAGGTTGTGGTGTTCCCAGTGGGAATGGGGACCAGGGGGTGTTACTTTGTCACCCAGGGGGGTGGAGGGGGCACTGGAGCTGAGGGAGGGGACTTGGTGTCATCATTAATGGCACTGGAGGGGGCACTGGAGCAGTGGGATATGGTCCTGGATCAGTTGGAAGTGGCCCTGGAGCTGTGGGATGTGACTTGGCGTCACCATTAGTGACACTGGAAGGGCTGGAGGTGGCACTGAAGGAGTTGGAAGTGGCCCTGGAGGGGTTGGAAGTGGCCCTGGAGGGGCTGGAAGTGGCCCTGGAGGGGCTGGAGGCGGCACTAGAGGGGTTGGAGCTGGCACTGGAGGGGTTGTAAGTGGTCGTGGAGCAGTTGGAAGTGGCCCTGGAGGGGTTGGAGGTGGCACTGGAGGGGTTGGAAGTGGCCCTGGAGCTGTGAGATGTGACTTGGTGTCACCATTAGTGGCACTGGAAGGGCTGGAGGTGGCCCTGGAGGGGTTGGAAGCTTCTCTGGAGCTGTTGGAAGTGGCCCTGGAGCTGTGGGATGTGGTCCTGGAGCAGTTGGAGGTGGCCCTGGAGGGGTTGGAAGTGGCCCTGGAGCTGTGGGATGTGACCCTGGAGCTCTGGGCTGTGTCTCAACGCCACCTTTAAGGGCTCTGTTCCCTTCCCTGGTGCCCATCCCGTTTCCTGGTACCAACCCCCTTTCCTGGTGCCAATCCCTGCCCTTCCCTGGTGCCCATCCCCTTCCCTGGTGCCAATCCCTGCCCTTCCCTGGTGCCAATCCCTCCTGTGCCAGTCCCCTGCCCTTTCCGGTGCCATTCATTCCTGGTGGCCGGCATCCCTTCCTTGTGCCAATCCCTGCCCTTCCTGGTGCGCCCATCCCTTCCTGGTGCCCATCGCCGTTTCCTGTACCGCAACCCATTCCTGGTGCCAATCCCTGCCCTTCCCTGGTGCCCATCCCCTTCCCTGGTGCCAATCCCTGCCCTTCCCCATCCCGGGACGAGCCCTGGGATCCCCCTCCCACCCCGGGGCCGTTGCTGGATGAGGCCGAGCAGCTCCTGGGGTGGATCCCGCCGGGAATTGGGGGTCAGGGGGGTTCTGGCACAGGATGGCCCCGGTGTCCTGGGGTCCTGGGCTCCATCCCAGGCCATCCCTGGTGACATTCCCGCTCCTGGCCCAGGTGGACCTGAACGAGGAGGAGACCATCCTCATCATCCGCCGCCTGCACAAGGTGCTGCGGCCCTTCCTGCTCCGCCGCCTCAAGAAGGAGGTGGAGGCTCAGCTCCCGGAAAAGGTGACACTGGGAGGGTCCTTCCTGCTGTTCCCCTCCTTGGGATACACCCAGGGGGTCATTCCTGCTGTCCCCTTCCCTGGGATACACCCAGGGGGTCATTCCTGCTGTCCCTTTCATTGGGATACACCCAGGGGGTCCTTCCTGCTGTTCCCCTCCTTGGGATACACCCAGGGGGTCATTCCTGC